TTTATTTGTATGCTATTAATTTTGAATGAACTTTAACTTTGGTTTATGTTTTCAAGTTCATATTTTGAGTTTATGAATAAACAGCAAATTATTATTAAAATTTTCTCTACTTCGCTTCAATTTTTAACTGGAGTTTCAAAAGTATGATTTAGTTCAATCATATGCGAATTTAATTTATACATTTTCAGTTTAGTTTCTCAGTATCTTTTAGTCTAAATCTTTTGTTAAATCTTATAAAATAAGAAAACTATAATCTTTTTTTTTTATGTCATCTGGACGTTATTAAAAACCACGAAGATACATTTTTGGAATGCGTTTTTGGAATACTAAGACGGAACCTCCAAAATACTAAGCCGGAATCTCCAGAAACTAAGCTTTAGACTAAAGGAACCAAACTTGGACCATATTCTACGAAGAAAATATAAAAGATAAGAGGGCACAAAATAGAGGTTCCTAAACTCGAAAACTATAGACTAAACACTAAAATAGCCAAACAACCATTCCCATGTAACAAGGAAGTGCCGAAGTGTGCCAAAGGACGAGCCACAAGATGAACCAGTGCACACCGAGTTCTCGATAACAGTAGCACAAGCAAGAAAGACAGCAAGGCCATGGTAGGGCAAAGTAGAAGAACTGACACCAACATTGCCAATCCAAAATACTATGAACCCGAATTGAAATAAGCACAAGGAGGAGAACCTTGCAATTTGCCAAAGGAAACACCAACTAGGATCACAAACTCTTACACGCGGACACATCGAGCCACCTTATGTCACCTACAAACAAAGGGACATCCACCTCCTCGCAAGAAAAGAATAGATGAACGAAACTACTGCACAATCTTGAACTCAACCACAAACCCTTTAAGGTTCACATAAAGAACTAGTAGATGCCTCTGCAATGATAAACCATCCGATTGACGAACCCCACTGACCCAAGACAAGATCCAACCACTTGAAGAAGACACTATCGCACATCTGAGCTAGAGACCCATAAATTGAACCCGCAAATAGCCAACTCAAAAGGAGTGAAGTCCATACAAACTAACATAGAAACAACAATCGAACAAGAAGCTAATCAACTACTCACAATCGAATTTCAATTAGCCAAATCAGCAACAACCACAACCAATACACAGGCAACGCTAGCCCAGAGCCGCAAGGACACCAAGAACTTATCTCGACAACCCAACCACGACAAAACTGAGAGCTTCCTCCGACGACTGTAAAGACTGGATTCAGCAAGAAGGAGATAGCCCTGAGACAGACCTCGAACATAGAAGGATCTAAACAAGACCAGATCTGAGATCCATTCTATGCCCACTCAATTAAAACCATACACTAGAATAGTCGAGGAAAGACCGACACCGGAAAGAATCTATGGAAGAACAAGACAGATGATGCGAAACTAGAAGAGTGTAACCTTCACCACAACAACCAGAGTCGTCACCACCATTTTTGCAGGCCGAGACTCTACCATAACTGAAACCCTAACCTCTTCTAGCCTAAAGCCTCACGAGTCGAAGCTATCAGAACAATGAAGAAATCCGATTGGAACCTAACAACAAACTAAGCCACCAACGAACCCAGTCGACGAAATGAGAAAACCCCGGCGATTTGACTAGCTGCAAGTCCGACAAAGGAGACAGATCTAGAAATTGGAACTAGGAGAAAAACAACAAAGACAACCTCGGAGGCTGGAGAACCACTCAGTGAACCTAGAGTCACCGGATTCGAAACCGTCTTCTTCTCATCGACTCCAAGCCCTAACGAAATCTAGAACTGCGACCACGAAACAAGAGCACAACCAAACTGCCAGAGGAATCACCAACTAA